GGGCAGGACGTGGTCGGGACAGTCTGATGCTCAGTTCGACTGTCGCTCACAGAACGGGGCAGGACGTGATTGGGACAGTCTGATTCTCAGTTCGACTGTAGATCACAGAATGGGGCAGGATGTGCTCAGGACAGTCTGATTCTCAGTTCGACTGTTGCTCACAGAACGGGGCAGGACGTACTCAGGACAGTCTGATGCTCAGTTCGACTGTCGCTCACAGAACGGGGCAGGACGTACTCAGGACAGTCTGATGCTCAGTTTGACTGTAGCTCACAGAACAGGGCAGGACGTGCTCGTGACAGTCTGATTCTCAGTTCGACTGTCGCTCACAGAACAGGGCAGGACTTGCTCGCGACAGTCTGATTCTCAGTTCGACTGTAGCTCACAGAACAGGCATAGTGTGCTCGGGACAGCCTGATTCTCAGTTGGACTGTAGCTCACAGAACAGGCAGGACGTGCTCGGGACAGCCTGATTCTCAGTTTTATTGTAGTCAATGATATTTGGGCGGCATGATTCAATACCATCTGCTCTGCCCTCCTGACCAAGATGGGCAGGTGATTTTGCCTTCCTACTCCCAAGGGAAGTGGGCTGACCAACTCTCAGTGATCTGTGAACTGCAGACTGAGCTGGGGAACTGCACAGATCAAGCATTTGCTGTTGGTATGGCCAACACGCTGCCAAGGGCTGGACTTCTCCTAGTCCCTGAGTGGCCCTCACTCTCAGCATTGCATGATCTCCACCCCCACAATCACAGGGACAGGCAAGAAACCACATGTCACCAAAACATGGAGCAGCTGGCTGATCCGAATTTGTTTGTGCCGCCTTATAATGAATGCATTCTTTTCACTTGTCTGTATTTTGGATTGTGGGCCAATTGAGGAAAGGACGCTACTTTAAACCAAGGAAACTGAGCAAGGAGATGTTGTTGCTTTACCCTAACCCTTGGCAGTTTTGTTTTAAAAGTTGGAACTGTAGAAGCAGAATGAATTCATGGAATCAGGCTCCAACAGAATGAGACTTTTAGTTTTTAGCTTTCAGTAATTGTTGGGGTTTTGAAGTTGGCTTTGGAAGCGCTCTCTCTCTCTTTCTCTCTCACACACACACACTCACTCTCGCTCTCTCTCGCTTTTGCTCTCTCTCTCTCTCTCTCAGACACACTTTTGCTCTTGCTCTCCCTCTCTCTCACACAGACACTCTCGCTCTTGATCTCTCTCTCTCTCTCACACACAATCTCGCTCTTGCTCTCTCTCTCTCTCACACTCTTGCTCTCTCGCTCTCTCTCACACACACTCTCGCTCTTGCTCTCTCTCTCTCTCACACACACTCGCTCTTGATCTCTCTCTCTCTCTCACACACACTCGCTCTTGCTCTCTCTCTCTCTCACACTCTCGCTCTTGCTCTCTCTCTTTCACACACTCTCGCTCTTGCTCTCTCTCTCTCGCTCTTTCTCTCTCTACCAGAATTTTCTCTCTTGGCTGCAGCTAACAGCTTGTGTTTTTTCTGCTGCGAGAATCGCACACGAGACAATCTGTTTGACTGAATTTTGGTTTGCCAGGGGTGTGTTCACGGGATGTTACTATATCAGAACTTTTGCTGTTTACAGTTAAATACTCTATTATTCTGTTCGGGTTAAAGTTATACCAAGTCTTCTTCTTTTAACTATAGGGTAAGAATAAAATGTGTTTTGCATAAAGCCAAGTCTTGTAACCAATCGAATTACATCTGGAACACCGCACCATTCACTTGTATTTAAATAAGCTAAAAGTGAGGAGTCTAGGTTGTCTCCTTGATATATTGGAGTGGGCTTTGGTCTGGTCCACGAGCCCTGGACTGGGAAGCCTGGGTTTAAGTCCCACTTCCTCCAGAGGTAAGTAGTAACATCTCAGAACAGGTTGATTAGGAAAAAGAGAGAGAGAGAGGAATAAATAATCTTCCCCTTTTGTTTTGATGCAGTGACGTGGCACCTGGTGGCACAGAAATGCTTTCCACTTTGGAGCAATGTTGCTGGCTGGAAATGTGTCCTGACCTGTCGGTGTGCCAATAGTGAGCTAGGTTTCTATTCTGCTGTTTCCACCCCCCTTCCAAACCCATCCGACACACACACCGCGCAAAGTTAAGAGGCCCACCCTGTGGAACATCAAACACATTCATTACTTTCTTTGTGACAAGATTGCCGTCTTCGTCTGTGAACTGCTCCTCTGTCACCGATTCTCCCGGAATGTTCTTGGCCTCTTCACCCTGTAGGAGCGAAGAGAAGTGAACGTGGTGCTCCTCGGGTGCCCGCTCTCCCTCCACCCTCGTGGGGCGATGCTCACTCACGCCAACAACACAATCCTACATCCGCCAGCCGGGGTTTCTTGGCGCACAAATCTCAAATCCTGTCGCCCTCCTGCCCGCCCAGACCCCCAGTTCGCAGCTCCCACCCCGAAACTGTTCAAATCCCCCCTGCATTCACCTACTCCGTGCCCATCAGAACTGGCGGCATCAATGGTACAAGGACAATGTCCATGGCAGCTCTGGGGAAAAAAAAGCTGGGTGTTGAGCTGGAAGTTGGGGTTGGGTGGGGGGGGGGCACAGCACCCACAATGGGCAAGGTGCTAGTTCCAACATGTCAACCTGCTGCAGATCTCGCGGGAGCCCACCTCAACTCTGGCTTCCTTTCCCTGGTTTCCCCCAACCTCAAACCTTGGCCAATCTCAGCATGAACGCGCCTTACCGCCTCCGTTTTTTTCGGGTGGGGGGGTGCGGGGGGGAAGAGTCGGCCAAGCTATCGACACGTTTCCCAGTGACCCGCAGTTCGGTTCGGTTTACCACCTCGCCGTGAGCATGCCTTCGCGTTTCTCCACCCGTTTGAACAAGCGCCCTGCATCTCAACAGGCTGAACGCGACAACGCTGCGTCTTTCACAAAGCTCACTCTGGAAAGCTGGAGCTGCATGCCTGAGTTTGACGCAGTCAGCCTGTAATCCTTGACCCTATTTTATTTTAAAACCCCCCACTTTGTGACCAATTTTGAACCTTTTGAAAGCGTTTGTAGCCAGTGGGGTGGGGCGGGGGGTGGGTGTGCGGTGGTATTGGTCTGAGTCTAGAAAGAATCCATTCGGACCATCGCCACACAAGCAGGATGCCCTGCTGCATTTCCACACCCCATCAGGCTCAGGCAGCAACGTTTGTCAGAGGTGAGTGGATCCCTCACGATCCCTCAGCGGGTCTCTGGAACATCCTCGCGTTTGTGACAGAGGGTCGTCCAGCGTGCAGGTTAAACTCCAGTCCGCTGAGGGAAAGGAGAGGAGGGAGGGCCGCGAGGCCGGTTAGTAGGTTACCCGAGAACAACGCATGCTTTGGAAGAGACTGGTGTCCGTGCCAAGTGAGCCGCGCTTGTCCCGAACTCTGGAAGTGAAACAGAACGCGGCCCCACCAAAACACGGGAGCAGGCATCGGGCATCGCGTCAGACAGCCACGAGGGGGACCTTGGACGCCATGGTGTCATGGCCTTGGAAGCTCACCCTCAGTGCCCCCAACACTCCTACTGTAGGCCGGGCGCCATTTGGAAGTGACACCTCTCCTGGGCACGTTTTCTCGGATTTCTGGGCACGGGAGTCAGGGTCTGCGCCCGCCAACCAGTCGCCCATCAGTCAATGCCTTAGCGGACACTTGCTGGTTGACTGTAAGTCGGGGGGGT